TGTTGTTTTCTTGAAGTATCGTTGTCTCTGAATGAATTACAATGCGAGTTCTTCAGCGATCACTGAACATGCTCAGTGTATTGATCGCTGGAACTGAAAGTACATAATCACAAAAATACATCGAAAGGAAAAAGGGATTATCATCAAATCACTGAGAGAGAGGATCAACAAAAATGAATCTTGATAGTTTGAAGAAACCGAATAGGATGAAGCGATCTCCTTTCTAGAGTAACAACATGCCTCGTCTTTCTTGAAACTGGTGGGAGATGGACCCTTTTCGGTATGATCAACAAGTTTTCAATTGCCACTACCGCTGATAAATCTAGCCTCACAGTCGCTAAGAAATCGTGCCACACAACCGACGACGGGGTTGGGTTGAGGACAGTGGCAACGACAGTGTAGCAACGGGATTGAGATGTGGGGGAGCGACGATTAGAATCAATATAGTTTTTAGAGGTTTTTCTAATTTGTAGTTTTACCTATTATGTAGATTGCATGTTACATTTTTAACTAATAAGGATGTATTTAACGGGTTTTTGAAAGTCCAATGATTTATTTAATAGGTTTTGAAATATCCAAAAACTTATTTGTCCCAAAAAATTGTTCAAGGATTTAATTGTTCTAAACACTAAAGTTCATTGGATTTTAATGAACTTTTCCCAAATACAAACAACAAACCATACCGCAAAAATTCTAAACCCCATGTTACGATATGGTGTGGGCGGTTTATACGGATACCCCTAGTTATGTCATATGTGGAAGCTTTTGCTATTTGTTGAAAGAAAGTAGGGGGACTGAATTTGTGAAGTGACGAAAGTTAAAAGACTCAAAATGCAAATCCTTTATCAAATCTGCCAGATTCATTTGAAGAAGCCCTCGATACTCCTGTCTTGCACAGAAAGACATCGAATAAGAACATCAAATCGCCATCGATACACGAAAGCTATAAGCTTCAAGATTATCCGATCTGAAAGAGAAAGATTGCTGGATGGCGAGTGTGGAGGTAGCGATGAAATTATCGGATTCAGGAGACAGAGATGAGAGCTGTTCATCGAGGCCTACAACGGCGAAAACAGGTGAAGGTCTGAGACAGTATTACTTGCAACATATCCATGATGCTCAACTCCAGGTTCGCCAAAAGACTCATAATCTCAATCGCCTTGAGGCTCAGCGTAACGAACTCAATTCTCGAGGTAGGTTTTCAAAATCCCCAAATTGGTTTCATAAGTAGAACCCTAGGGGCGGTCATTGAATGTTTAAATCAGATGCTACTGTTGTGTCGTGAACTTTGATTGTGTTTGAATTCCTTGTATGCTATTGAGCATAAATCAAAATCTGGGCGAAGGCGAAAAGAGCTTAATTCTTGAGGTAGTTCTTGAAAATCCGCAGAATGAGGATATTAAGAAGACGCTAGATATTATTATAATTTCGATTGAAATCTTTTGATTGATCTCGCTATCTCAGAATTAATTTGGTTGCTTGTTGAGGAAACAATTGTTAAGAAGCAAAATGCTATTTCCCAAGGTGGAACCTTTAATTCTTGAGATGGTTCTAGAAAATATCTAGAATAGGGATTCTAAGAAAATGCTAGAACTAGAAGCTATTGGAATTTCGATTGAACTGTTAAATCTATTGAGATCTCACTATTGATTTTGTTGCTTGTGCCATTTCCTACGATTGATTTTTTGGTCAGTTACTACATTGCTTGTGTGTATGGAAATTTTGGTGAGCATAAAAAGTTGTTTTCATAGATTACATTCTATTCCAGACTTTATAGTGCATACGGGTGCATCTGTGCATGTATCTATGTACATGCTATTGATACCAATCTCAAGAAAATTGAAACCTGTAAGCTAGAACTTGCTTATGTTCCAATTCGGTGCACGAACACATGAAACTAAACTGTAAGAATCCAAATAGTTTTTATGTACGATGATTATGTGATTGTGTAGAAGTGTGTTCATGTAGGATGTATCAAACGATTGAAAATTTGGTAAGTAAGGACCAATATTTATTTATTTTTGATTAACCTGGATATCCAACCCGCTATGCGAGCTTACTAATCCCAGGGCAACCACCTGCTTTGCAGATAGCCCGGAATCACCGCATTTGAACCTCCGTGGCCACAAGGGGATTTTTATTCCTTCTTGGATTTGAACCTGAGACCTCCTGGTACTTTTGACCATTGGAGTCAAGCTCAAACCAACCAGGCACCACCCTTGTGGTTACCAGTATTTTTTATATATACATAAGAGAGGAAATCCTTTTTATTTGAGTTATGTGTTTTGGCTCATGTGTAAGAGACTATTTAAGATACTAAATACCAAAAAATTTATGTTCTTGTTTTCTATTTCAATGTGCACTTCTCGGTGTATGTATGACCTCTAGATATGAAATGCAAAATGCCTTGGACTGTCCTTTAATTAATTTATCTGATATGAAACTGAATTGGTGTTTTAAATTGCATTTTAAACTTCATTTCAGGTAAGTTTTTGAAACGTCAAACTGAATAGTTTCTATTCGACTGTGTTACTCACTGATTTCGTCTCATTAGTTGCATGACCAAGTAACAGGGAATTCTGTTATGATGTTTTTTTATACATGGAGGCAGAAAAATTCAAGGAACCAAGTCCCATTACTATGCTCGCCTATTTTTGCCCATTTTCGCCTCAATTGCATATGGTTACAACTTACAATGTTACATGCATGTGGAACGATTTATCTCTATACTTTAAAGCTTATCCAAAAAAAATTACGCCCTACTTCAGTTGATAAGATCTAATGTAACCATACTGATTCTTCCACTCCTGAGGCTGAGATTGGGAACTAGATGGAGCCCCTATAAGTGTATGTTTCAGTGAATGGTGGTATTACCATTCATTAAATAGTATCTCTGTAGTTTCTTTGGCTCAAAAAAGTAGCATCTCCATAGTTTTATAATTGAAGTGGGGGTGGAGGGGATCATCCATGGGAAACAAGATGTAACTTTTGAGGGAAGGTGCAATTTTGGGAAGCAAATACCATAATTGCCGAAGTTTCCCTTGTTACGACTGTAAATTGCTGCAAGTGTGGGGAACAGTGAAGAGTAACGTACTGTAAAGTCTCTTGTGAATCTGCTTATCTCTTATTCCAGTCCATGTGTTTTTCTGTAACTACCGGCATATTGAAGGCACCCAATTCAAGAAACTCAAGACCATTTGAGCTAGAATTTGCTTATATTTTTGTCTGAGCATACATGTTCAGAAATCTGAAAGGATGAAACATTTGTTTTAGTAACATATATATGTTATGATTCTGTTGGAGTGTGTTTTTGTGCTAAGCAGCCTACAAAAATTGCAAACTGGTTTTTGAATTTGTTCATGTTCTATTGACCTATGCTTGAAGCATTTACTTGTGAAGTTGGAAGCCCGCAACTATTCTGTGGTCTTCTTTATTGACAGTGTTAAACAGTATAAAACGGTTGAGGGTCATCAAGCAATGGGTTTTAATTAATTAGTTCACTTGTTGAGTATTATTTATTGCTTTCGTGTCTTGTGCCTTGTGATATGTTACACTTTTTCAGATTTTAATATTGGGATGGTGCTTGTTTTGCGTTGTAACGTCAAATTACAGTCAGGATGCTTAAAGAAGAGTTGCAGCTGCTTCAAGAGCCTGGATCTTATGTCGGTGAAGTTGTCAAAGTAATGGGGAAGTCAAAAGTACTCGTCAAGGTTAGTGATGTTTTATATTCTGTCTGAGGATGATTTTGTTTTATGGTTTTTAAATGGGCTTGAAGCCTAATCAAGGTCGTATCACGTATGGCGTTTGTCCATAAGAATTTGAAGCCACACACAGTTCCTTTCTGACATAAATCAGTATATGAAGTTGATGGGGTTATAGTAATCCGTTCTTTTTAAAGTCATATGCTCAACAGATCCCACAGATACAATTGTAAATCATAACATCCTCTACAGGAAGCTACGACACATACACACACACAGCTGGATAGTTTTTAAACACTACTTTCTAATGTGCCACTTTGCCATTCTTCATTCATAGTTAAACTTGTGTGGCCACATATCAACCTTAGAATTTAAAAAGGCAAATTAAATAAGCAACAATATATGCATGTATTTGATTGTTTTGGGACTAAATTTGAGTCCACAGTATCACTTCTATCTATGGAGTGTTTGGCCTATTGAAATTCCCATGGAGACTATTGTTATAATTAGAAGGTACATTAATCACTTTCTTGGAACCTCCATCCGCATTGGATTTCTCCCATTGCAGTGAGAGGATTTTCAGACTCAGTCGATAGT